CCCCAAAACCCCAAAACCCCAAAACCCCAAAACCCCATAAATAGCAGTTAAAATTGAAACAAATATGGGTGGCTGCTTAAGCAACAATGCAACTTCTGGTAAGCCTCCAGTCTGGCTTGTCTGGTCTATGGGCAATCTTGCCCAGGCTGAACTAATAGCAATAGGATTTATGGCTAATTGGTGAAATATAGGCAAAAAATTCAAGCTAGGAAGCAATAAGGATTATTATTCCAGATCAAAAGCTACCAACTTAAGTATAAATTGGCTTTTATATTCATATAGCTGCAGAAGAGATTGAAGCGAGAAGCCAATTTGATCATAAAAAGGTAATCTAAGTTTGGTATTATTATAGCCATGTAAGGAAAAGATCAAACAAGCTGGTGAAATTCTTAAGAAAGAACTTGGCATTGATTTCCAAAAACTAATCAGTAAATTATCATCTTTACCATATAGATGAGTGTGAGGACCTAGTGTTCCCTCCTGATGACATTAGTAGCTATGAGTATGAGCTATTTCTTGGTAAGCTTGCTTTCTGAAGTATAGAAATTAACATTATGAGGACCAATCCCGAGAAATTTGTCTCATATATCCTTGATAATTACATAACAAAATTTTCCAATTCTGAAGAAGGTATTTTTCATACTAATTTTAGAGAAATTCAAGGAAACCTGAAGTCATTTAAAATAGCATGATGAAGCTCAAACCTGTCAAGTGGGATCCCAGAATAGAGTCCAGCATCGCTGATTACCAAGACAAAGGATCTGATATTACAGAGAGACTGGAAAAGTTAGGGATTAATCGAGAAGTTCTCTCAACAGAGGTTTTACTAAAAGGCTCTAAATTTGGTAAGCTTTATGGATGATTATAGCATTTGAAACTCTCTGAAATTTACTCAAAAGCACGGATGACGATAAGAACTTAGAGAAAGAAAAACTTCTTTTCTCCATGTTTAGAAATATCGCAATAGGATGCACCGATAAGCTTGATGTAGCTATTGTGTTGACCAATGATTAATCATTTCAATCGATAAGTTTGCCCCAGGGGTTTTGGGGTTTTGGGGTTTTGGGGTTTTGGGG